GTTCAGCCTAATTCAGACAAATCAGGGGGCAAACAAATTGATGTCTTTTCCTGGTTCTTCCCCAAGTTTTGAGCTAATTGCTTGAGGAGGATTTTAATCAGAGCTCATAAAAATGTGCAACAGTATTCTGTGGTCAAATACAACTGCAGAAGACAGCATCCTGCATCCCTCCTCTCTTGGACATTCAATAGACTCGTTGGTACATTAAAGGCTCTGAGAAGTCCTGTAGCAAAGAAACTTATTTAATCCAGACTTTTCAAAATTAATGTGACCACAGGTACTTAAAAAAAAAAATCACAGAACTCCTATTAATATGGGTTGAGAAATGCTACACTACAGCACATGCCTTTAGGAAGGATGACAAAATAGCACCTGGAGGAATTGGGTTTTTGACCAAACATTTAGGTGTGCACTTGGAAAAGAGAACTTTACTGGACACTTGGACCACAGGGCTAATTTACAGAAAAAGTATGCATCTCGCCCCATTCTCTAGAATGGAAATGCTGACAAAGACAAAAGAAATAATAAATTTACCAGCCAAAAAATGTACCTTTCACCATGTGGCCATTTAGCTAAAAGCTAGAAAGCTAACTAACAAAGATTGTGCCAAAAAAACCACTGATGTTTGTGTCCAGAGATGCATTTAACAGCCGCCACATGAGGCTCAAATCACTCCCCCGACCCCACCCCATCTGGTAAATGTTTGTGTCATCGATACATCTAAACGCTGCTACATGACATCCAGGGTGTTCCCACGGTCACTAAGTCCTTTGATCACGGCCATCTGGCCGAGGACGTGGGCTCACACTTGCCCCTCATCTTCTCGGTGCTCGCTCTGGATTGTCGCTCCCAGATCCTCCTCCAGCAACAACGCTGCACTGGTTGGCACAAACCACAGCAAACCAGGAGAGTAAAAAGATCAAAAGTTTAACACTAAAAAGGAACAAACCTGAACAATCGAAGAGAGAAATGGGAAAAGGACACAAATCGACAGTTCATACAAAGTGAAATTCGAATGGCTCCTAAACATGGGAAAAGACACTCAGCGTCATAAAAGAGAAATGCAGTTCTTCACGGAGGTACCAACTTTTATCCCCCAATGGCAAAATATTGGCAAAGAGTGAAGAATTTGATGACAGTCTGGATTGAAAAGAGTGAAGAAACAGTGCTCTGAGGCAGACTTTGGGGAAGAAATTTGGCCATAATTGAATGCACACGTGCACTGACTGAGCAAGTCCGCTTCTAGGAATCAGCCCCTGTGTATGTAGCGCGGGGCCGTTCAGTGTAGCTCTGTTTACCAGAAAGATTAGAAACAACCTAAATGCCTACCAGAAACAGCTGGTTAAACATCCATATCAGCAAAAAAGAATGAGGCGGCTTAATACACAATAGGAAAGTGTTCCAAATTACACTGTTAGGTGACAGTCAAGCAGATGAGTGTCAACCACCCTGTGCTTTCAGCTATGTGATGCACAGAATTAATACACATCACGGATGCACACACATGCACATGTGTATCAATGGGTATATAAGTGGTGCCGGCTGGTGGGCCACACTCTGAGCAGCCGGCATGTTAGGGGAGAAGAGGGCCTATTCTGTGGCTGAGGCTGAACCTGGCTGAATTCCTTTTTTTCAAGACAGGGTCTTGCTCTGTCATCCAGGCTGGAGTATAGCAGTGTGATCATAGCTCACTGCAGCCTCAAACTCCTGGGCTCAAGCAATCCTCCCGCCTCAGCCTCCTGAGTAGCTGGGACTACAGGTGCGTACCACCATGCCCTGCTAATTTTTCTTACTGAGGAAACAGGGTCCCACTGTGTTGCTCAGGTTGGTCTCGGACTCCTGGACTCAAGCAATCCTCCTGCCTGGGCCTCCCAGAGTGCTAAGATTACAGGCGTGAGCCATGGTGCCTGGCCTGAATTTATTTTAAAAAGTGGATTCTTCCCTTGCCTCACCCCAGACCTACTCTGTATCTCCAGGGGCTGGGCCCAGGCACCCAGAGAGTTTTAAAAGCTCCACACACAGCTTTGATGCACAGGCAGGGTTGAGAACCCCCAGCTGGTGTGAGGATGCATGTCTTCCTATAGTGACCTCTACCATTAAGAATTTACTTCAGAGACATGGGCTCCAAACTGGCAGAAAGAAAAAATAGCACCTGAGTTAAATCTCCATGAGCAAGAGCTTCTCACCCAAGGTTTGGTCATAAGTGACATTACTCAAAAGCAAGTTTTAGAAAAACGAGATGTCAGAGCCTCATCTTCCCACCACCATAACTGATCACTCAGTTCAGGAACACGTCACCTTACTTTATAAGCTACCAGTTCTCTGGCATCCTTCAGACTGAAGTGGTGGCAGTTTACAGCAGACCAGAGGAAGGAAATGAGGAGCCTGAGTGGAACTTCCATATGTGGTAGGTGTCAAAAGTTGAAAATGCATCTGATGAAGTGGAAGCTCCTTGGCACATTTCAGCCATTTCCTAGGATTTTCCATGTTTCGATGCGACAGATTTATCTGTGTTGTGGCTCCAAATAAAAATTAATTCATATATGCTGTAGAGACCCACGTCCTTCATTCCAGATTCTTTTATGAAGCTATCACTTTCGTCAGGTATACAGCTGAGCTTGTTGCCCTGATACCAGATCCAATCGGAAATTCTGCCAAGAAGAGGAAGAATTTTCTCTATGTCCTGATGCTATTGCGGTGGTATCTTTAGACCTTACCTGTGAAACGTTCCATCTTAAATACTGTCAACCAATGAGCATTCTGCCCCTCAACAGAATTCTGAACAAAATTCTGAATTAGGAAAGACTTTTCAAGAAAACAATTTTATGTTTTCAAGTACAGGGAGCAAACCAAACCAGTCAAGAAGAAAGGTCTTTGAGGACTCCTCTCATGGACAGACAGAGGCAAATGCCTGGCCTACGAGCTGTTTACAGACATGTGCTTCAAAGGCACCATGATCTTGTTCACGGTATTATTTGGCTTTTATTTATTTACTTATTTACTTTTAGAGATAGGGTCTTGCTACATTGCCCAGGCTGACTTCTAGAGATTTTCCCATCTCAGTCTCGCAAGTAGCTGTTGACTACAGGCTGTTTTTTTTTTCTATTCGAACAAAGATAAATGACACTGGAGCCTCAGTCTGAATCATCTCCAATTCCAAAATTGTAAATTGAGAATTATTCAGTTCCAACATTCAGTAGTCACACGTTTTTGCTACCCTCGCAAGCACAGAAGGTATAGAAACCGGGCAAGTGTGTGGCCCCAGGAAGCCCAGGTGCCGGTGGGCGGACACACCATGTGGTGGTGTAGGGCGTGTGCCTCCAGGGGCCGTGGGGCACTCATTAAGCGAGTGGGTAGTACTCATACAAAAACACTTCCTAGGGACAAGGCCATACCTTTCCTGGTCATTTCTAACCACTTCATCCTCTCTCTGTAATTGCCAGCTAACCAGCAACACAGTGGATGTCCCAGATTCACCTCTCTCTGGACGTTAGAAAACATCCCCAATCCTAAACCTGTCAGCTTCAAAACAACCTGCAAGGGCCCTCCTGCTCCGTGACCCACCCCCACCAAGGGTTCTGTCACCTACTAAGACAGAATGCATTTCCCACAGGCAGCCACAACAGCACCTCCTGCTTGCCTGCGATGTGACTTTGTTCCTCCCTCACCAAGATGTGGCCTCTACCTTCCCTTCCCTTGAATCAGGGCAGGCCTTAGTGCCTTGTTCGTAACCAAGAGAACGTAGCCGAAGTGATGCTGCCTGACTCCTGAGGCTCGGTCAGAGAAGGCCGCGGGCTCCTGCCAATTCCCCAGGTGTCCTCTCCTGGGACTCTCCCCTGGAGCCCAGCACCACACTGGGAGAGGCCAGGTCCCACCCAAAGGCCCACCTGAGCCTTAAGTCATCTAGCTCAGGCACCGGATATGGGGGTAGATGAGCCGGAACCCCACAGTTCAAGTCACCTCGGCCATCAAGTGTTCATTACAGAGCAGAAAAGCCCCTCCCCGACACGTCCTGAGTTCCTGGCACAGAATCTGTGAACATCATGAAATAGTTTTTTATGCCCAAAAGTTGGGACTGTTTCTTCTTTAATATTCAGCAACAGATAACTAAACTATCACTCAGGGGCCTGAGCCACAGATTGTCCCTGAGACACTCCAATGCATTCATGCACAAGTACCTGCCGAGCCTCTACAACCTCCCAGGCACAGAACTGGTGCCCTGAAACCAACTCAGAATAAGACGGATTGGACCACAGGCTCTCACAGCAGTTACAGATTAGCTGGAACATGGATGATCTACAACCAGTCACTCTTTTTAAATTGCACCAGGATAGCTGCTAAAAAGGAGCTAATCCCCTCTCTTCTGATATCCTCATTCCCCTGGCTTAACTTCAGTTCCTCCACGTGCCTTGGCATGCCACCTTCCCTTCTGCCACAGAGCCTCTGTGTGGGGCTCTCCCCCACCCCCCACTAACATCAGAGCTCAGGCACGCTGTTTTCTGAGGAAGCCTTTCCCAACCCCTGCCAGGGCAGACTCCTTTGTCAGTCAATCCATTAGAAGACCCAGTCCGAGTCATTGCATGAGTGAGGCTTTCTGGTTTTACTGTAAGCTTTGGCTGTTGATTGTGTGGGCATGGGTGGACTCTCCCACAGATCCAGGTGTCTGCCTTCTCTATTTGAGAAGACTTATACCCAGACCTGATGCAGGTGTGCTAAACCATCCGTGACCCAGTCTGAGGTTTTATCTGAGAGCCAAGGCGGCACTGGAAGGCATGAGGGTGGGGTAAGCACAAGTGTCTACAGGTCTGCAAAAAAAGAGAATGCCAGAGAAGGCTGCATGAATCAGAAAACCTTATAAGATGGCAGAGGCAGGGGTGACACCAAATCACCAAAAAGATCCTCAGTGTGTGGGCAAATTGATTGCTGGGAAAAGTGTTATTAATCCATCCACCCACCCACCCATCCATTGTACTTGGATTTAGGAAGAAAAGGATCTGTTAAAAAGAATCACTCTCTTGGCCGGGCGTGGTGGCTCACACCTGCAATCCTAGCACTCTGGGAGGCCGAGGTGGGAGGATTGTTTGAGCTCAGCAGTTCGAAACCAGCCTGAGCAAGAGCGAGACCCCGTCTCTACTAAAAATAGAAAGAAATTAATCGGACAACTAAAAATATATAGAAAAAATTAGCCAGGCATGGTGGCGCATGCCTGTAGTCCCAGCTACTCAGGAGGCTGAGGCAGAAGGATCACTGGAGCCCAGGAGTTTGAGGTTGCTGTGAGCTAGGCTGACGCCACGGCACTCACTCTAGCCCGGGGAACACAGTAAGACTCTGTCTCAAAAAAAAAAAAAAGAAGAATCACTCTCCAGCTTCAGCCTAAGGAGCCAGGAGAACTCAAATGCCCCGAGGGGAAGAAGAGGGACCAGGAAGAAGATCTGATGACAGATGGTAGAGGAGGCGACGGATGAGGGGAGACAACTTGGTTTGATGTGAAAGATATTAAGGGACAAACGGGGTGGGAGAACATTTAATGGGTGGAGGGCGGGAGAGTGGCCAGAAGGAAGGACACACAAGAGGAGAAAACATGTCAGAGGAAGCAAGAGGTAAGGAGATGGTGGTTGGTAAAAAGCTTACTGGACTTGGCACCTGGGTTCTGGGTGACCTGTAAGCAAGTGTCGCCTGCATGGTAGCAGGACAGCCCACAGAGGGGAAGAGCCCAGTGGAAAGGGAGCATGTGATGGTATAAAATGGGTTTCCAGATTGGCCATGAGAACGGGGGACAGGAAAGCAGCCCGAGGCAGCAGGCAGGAATCTGCTGCAGGACAGGGAAGCTGCACGTGCAACTGTAGGCCAGCCAGAGCCGGGAGGAGACAGAGTTAATAGACAAAGTTGCAAGGAGGCAGGAGGCAGCATTCTTATTCCACGCCAGGCTCAGGGGAGCAAGCCGATCTGCACCAACCCAGAAACTCTCTCCAGGGCGCTCACTTCTTCCCAAGGACCTCATCTCTGAGCTGGCTCCCGATGGGCACAGAATCGCCCAAGGAGTTGGTCTGGGAGCACCAGGATAGTGGATGGAAAGCTGACAAAACAGCATTCCAGAGTCAGGGGACTTTAGGAACCCTCTGGCTGGACAAAAACTGGTTTCTTTAAAGCCCAAACTTCTTGGATCCTTTTATGCTAGGGGAGAACGCTTAAGTTCCAGAGAAGGACGAAGAATTATCAGTGTCCAGTCTCAGGGGCCACGGAATCTCCACATCCTGGAGCACATGGAGAAAGCAGTATGTCTCAGAACACACTCTGGGCAATACCGTTCTACCGTGTTCATCAGCAAGCAAAAGTGCTCATCCCCTAGCACCGAAAACATTCCCACTCATTTCTGCCAATCCCCGCTCCCGCTAAACGAAGGGTAAAGTCACTCGAGTGAGATCTGCGGGCTTATCGCTTCCTCCACGGCACATGCTAACAGCGTGTTTGTGCTTGTTCTCGGTTCTCACAGCGCACAATAAAGGCCCTTCAGCTGAAAAGTACTTTCAATGGGTCTCTCCAAACACTTGTTTAACAGGAAAGCTCAGTTGGGGGAGGGCATTTTCTTTCTTCAAAAAAAAACCAACTTTCTGTGCTACGATGATATCATTCAAGCAATGACTGCAATTCACACACTCCAGGTCCTGCCCTGCCAGAACGGGTGCCAGCCTCTGGCGTCACTCAGCCGGATGGCGATTCACGGGGTGACTCACACTCGGATGTCTTAAAAAACTGATTCTTTGGCCGGGCGAGGTGGCTCACGCCTGTAATCCTAGCACTCTGGGAGGCCGAGGCGGGTGGATCGCTCAAGGTCAGGAGTTCAAGACCAGCCTGAGCAAGAGTGAAATCCCGTCTCTACTAAAAATAGAAAGAAATTATCTGGACAACTGAAATATATATATATATAGAAAAAATTAGCTGGGCATGGTGGTGCATGCCTGTAGTCCCGGCTACTCAGGAGGCTGAGGCAGAAGGATCTCTTGAGCCCAGGAGTTTGAGGTTGCTGTGAGCTAGGCTGACACCATGGCACTCTAGCCAGGGCAAAAGAGTGAGACTCTGTCTCAAAAAAAAAAAACAAAAAACCTGATTCTTTGAAGGAAATTATCTGTTATGTGAAATGTCAAGAAAGACAGATATTAAAAAGAAAGGTCAGAGTAACACCAAACTTAATTGGGAAAGTGCCCAAATGAGAACATGGGCAGAAAAATAGAAGAGGGAGGAACAGAGAGAAAGAGAGGGAGGGAGAAGGGAGGGAAGCAGAGTGGCTGGGGGGTTGCAGGGCAGATGTCAATGGGAGGAAAGGTCTAGCATTTACTGAATGTCCTCTGTGTGTTTGGGAAGGGCAGAGAGGGCAGAGAGGGCAGAGAAAAATGTTAGAATAAGAATTTTTGTAAAAACTCATAGGCAAAGTCAGTTGACAGGGTTTTTGAGAAATGAGAACCAACCAAATCCCCTAAGAACAGAAACCACCGTTGGAAAAGATTATGAAGAACCACGATCCAGTCTGAGCTCCCTCAGTGCCCATACGATGAGGGTAGAAGCCTACAGAAAATATGACCAGCAAATATGGCTGCCAGAATGTGCAGGCAGAGCTGGAAAAAAACAGAGGTGAGAGTTTCCACCCACTACGTGCCTCCCTGACATTTCTGCAAGCACCCAAACCCGGTCCCTCCGCTGCGTCCTGGTCCACGCATCTGATCGCGTGGCACCAAGTACCAACAACAGAGTTCACCCTTACCCCCACGGAGCCAATTCTCCTGCCAACCCATCAGATATCTGCACGGGGTCGAGATTCCAAGATTGTGATAGGAGACTCAGCAGCGCCACGGGGAAGGAATGAGGAAGAAACATGTTTTATTCACGATTTGGGCAGTCAAGTAGAACTCCCCTGCTAACTTGTCTGGCTGCTTCAACCTTGTCCCCGGTCCACCAAGATCCAGTCTGGACCTGTTACAACAGAGGCCACCTCTTCCTGTTCACACTGGTGGACATTCCATTTTAATTTCACCAAGTATCATAATTTTAGTACCTTCTGCTTCAGGGCAGCGAGCACTTAAGCTCAATACTCAATAGCTTAAAATGACAAACAGAAACCAACGCTAAGGTCTAATGCGTCTAAATGTTTGATGTGGAAAGGTGGGGAGGACAAACGATACACACGAGTCAATGGCCTCCCCACGTCTGGACGAGATGGGACCCTGTGGACACGTGCACTCTCCACACTGAGAATCTCCCTACCCTAGAACGGGCAGCATCATCACAGAAATGGGATTCCGTGGTGTGTCACTATCTCTATAGCTGAAAGCTGTTAGGAAAAAAACAGCTTAACCAGGCAGTGGAACCCAGAAGGAGAACTGAGAGGGCAGGCCTTGGCACAGAGCCCAACAGAGGCTTCCAGGAAACCTGCAAGGGCAGAACAGCAGTGACAGATCTCAGGGAAAGCAGATGAAACCCGAGGTTATTCTGAGGGAGGCCACAGGCGAGGCACGTCTGGGGAGCTAGAGTCAGAACAGAACACTACCACAGCGCCTTCTAGGAATGGGAAACGAGTTATTTGGCTGGAATTCGAGGGACCGTGGGAGGAAATATTTTCAACTTGGTATCTGGAGCAAATCTGGGGTCTGAAGAGAAAAGGCTCAGCTTCCTCACGGAAAACAGCTACAAGAGGAGCCCACATTTGCCAGGGTGGAAGAACCAGTAGGAAATGAAACAGAAAGCCACAGGAGAAAAAGCATACGGTAAAAGTAAGCCACGTTCTGCTGCCCCGAGTGGCGTACTGTCTACGGCCAATTTCACACAACACTGGCAGGGCAGAGTGGCTTTGACAGAGACCATGTGGTCCACAAAGCCTGTATGTTTACTCTCTGGCAGAAAGTTTGCCAAGCCCTGGTCCAGACCAGACCCTGCCTCTGAAGCTGGCCTGATTCTGGCCAGATGGCACAGGTTGCTGCATAACAGGTCCCTTGTGGCAAGCTTTAAAATTCCCACTAGAGAGCCCACCCCATTCTATATTCACAAATGACTGAACGAAAGGAAGGGTACCTTCAAGATCCTTCTAAAGTAGAAGAGGGCACAAGAAGAGACAGGCTGAAAATGCTAACAGGCTCAAAGCTGTGTCCTGGTCCTCAAAAATGCACAGTCCCTTGGGGACTGTATATTACTCCCCAAAGGGCCCACACATCTAAGACATCTTTGAGAAGCTGCTGTCCATGAGTGGCCCCTCATGCTCTGGTGGTCCAAGAAAGAGGAGACAAAGAAAAGTGGCATGGATTGATTTGTTACAGTACATTTGTTTGAACCCCACTTAGGGATTACCCCATTATATTACTCTTGTTAATCCATTTGGGGGCATGTGAGCGTGCCCATATATGTACACAGGTATAATTTCCTTAATAATGGCTCCGAATTAGTTAATATGTATGTACTGGTGGTTATTACATAACATGCCAACAATTTAACAATACGAGTAATTTACATCCAAAGACTGATATGTATATACTTTTTAAATTTCTGTGTATAGTAACATGCAAATTCTTGCACATACAACTCGGCTTTAAAAATAGACACACTAATGCATACACAAAGAGTGCGATGCGCACCATCCAGGGGATGGACACACTTGAAGCTCGGACTTGGCGGGGGGCAAGGGCAACATACACAACCTAAACATCTGTACCCCCATAATATGCTGAAATAAAAATATATATATATACACACACTAAGAACTGAGCTTAAGGCCTCCCTAGATTCTTTAGCCAACATAATAACAGATAACCGATTAACTGTAGATTATTTACTGGCTGAACAAGGTGCTGTTTGTGCAATAATCAATAAAACTTACTATAAAAATATATATACACACACAACCAACACCTATGCTCTCTGCAGAACTTGTCAGATATGGTCTCCCAGCCCTGCCAGACCGAGGACGGTGGGCGCTTATCCAAGCCCATCCGCCACTCTCTCAGTTTCAGCCTAGGAGGAGATCAGAGAAAGATGCTGCTCTCCTAGACTGCGTGAAACGGATCGGCCATCTTTGGCACACGTGGCCATGACCGATGTGTGGATTTACAAGTACAGTGACCAGTCACCAGGCTCTCATGTGGTTACCTTTCCTGAACGGCTCCTGGTTCTCCTCCGCCTCCCTGTTGGCTTGATTCTGCTCTGGTTCAACAGTAGACTCTTGGTCTTCAAGCTCATCTTCTGTTTCGTCATCGCTGTAGGGAACCACTTCGTCATTAGGCTGAGAATCCTCCTCGAATGTCGTCTGCGAGTCTCTTTCTGTATTCATTCTGCTGGCAAATAGGAACTATCTGGTTGAAAAGAAAGGGAAGCCAGACTGATTTGCGGATCTTGCCCAGTTTTTGGTTGAATCTGCCTGTGTGCTCTTACAATGCCCCTTTAACAGAACATTATTTTACTAAGCCATGAATATTTCTGAATAATGACCCAAAAGTTCAACTTAACTCACAAGCAACAACGAGACCATTCAGTATTGATTAAACGCCTAGGTAAGAAGAAAGAAAAAAAAACACGTAGTTGCAAACCCTTTTGTTTTTTAAGACAGGTATATATACTTGAAGGCTGTACTTCCAGTTAGGAGTCTCTACCCAGTGAAATAAATTTAGTGGGTCACAACCAACATTAAAATAAATTGAAACAGACTGCAACATGTCAGATTACAGCACACACGGTAAGAGTAAGCACTCTTTGGTAAAACAGTTTTACAAAACTGACACGTTTGCACATTTACTCACACTGTGGGAGTTAACAGAATTGAATTTCTTCCTATGGATTGCCAGCAAAGTTACAAAACCACCGCCCTGAGATATCTGGTTTCTGCTAATATTCTGAGGCTTTATTCCGTGACACATTTTAAATACAACCCTAGATCTTCAAATTTTACTAACGACTTCCTGGGAACACTCCCAGTCTCTCTCTTTCTACCACTTCCCACTCTCTGTATCTAGAATTTGTATGTGTTTACTTTATAAGATGACTCTACATAAGTGACAAGAACCTTAGTTCTATTTTTATTAGGGAAACATTTACACAAATACCTCAGGTTACTTGAAGACAGACATGTAGCCTGGCATTATTTACTTAGGTATCACACTGCTTTGTACTCAGTATTATTACTAATAGCAGGGCCAGGCGTGGTGGCTCACACCTATAATCCTGATACTCTGGGAGGCCGAGGCA